TGCCACATTTATCTGCCACAAAAAAAGCAGCACTAGCACGGACACTGTCATCACTCACGACTTTAAAACATTCTTTCCACAATATTTTAATTGCAACTTTTGGAGGCGACTATTCTCAGAGTTGATCCCCGCCGTGCCAAAACAGGCAGTTTTTGCGACCACATCCTAGAAACGCCCATGACAAAGTGGGAAGGTATGAATCATCGTGTAGAGAGATCTGCAAACTGGCTGTCCGACTCTTTTCCATTTGAGTTGCTGAAAATGCTCAAAACTGACTGGCATTGAAGCATTTGTGTAAAGCGGAGTGCAGTGAAAACATTTCTGTCACCATGTGGACACATTTACAGCTTTGAGGGAAACTTTAAATGTTTGTATTTCTGCAACAACAACAAAAACTGAACGTTTCCATTTCTGCACAATATTGACAAAAAAAAGTATGTAATAATTAGGAATGTAATAATATGAAAACTTCATCTCATCATAATAGTGCCCAAAATGATCACAATTATCAATATAATCAGGGTTTGGTTCAAAATACCTAAAAATTAAACTAATATTCAAATTAAATAATGTATGATGTTTGGCGCAGTAGGTAGTGCTGTCGGCTCACAGCAAGAAGGTTGCTGGTTCAAGCCTCGACCGGGTCAGATGGCTTTTCTGAGTGGAGTAAGCACGTTCTTCCTGCGTTCACGTGGGTTTCCTCCGGGTGCTCCGGTTTTCCCCACAGTCCAAAGACATGCGGTACAGGTGAATTGGGTATCGGTACAGGTATAATTGTCTAGAGTGTGAATAAGTGTGCATTGATGTTTCCCAAAGATGGATTGCAGCTGGAAGGGCATCCATTGCATAAAACATATGCTGGATAAGATGGCGGTTCATACCGCTGTGGCGACTCCTGATTAATAAACTGAGACAAAAATAATTTTTTGAATTTTGTGACTATGTAAACATGGATCCCTGCATTTTGGATTTGTTTACTGCATGTGTGTGTGTGTGTGTATGTGTATGTGAAAAATGCTAAGTTCCACAAAATTATTTCACATTGTCACAACACAAATAGGTTAAAACTTTATTTCTTTTACAAATTTAAGAAGATTGAACATAAAACAACAAAATTCTCATAATTAATACTCAAATTGTGTTGTTTCAGCAAGTAGTTTGAACAAGTATAGCAGAATTTCTATTTTTTTGGTGTGTGTGTGTGTGTGTGTGTTTGCGTGTGTGCCTGTGTTTATAAGTAAATTAAGGTATTGTTTGTTAAACCTGCTTTTGGAAACCTACTTTCCAAGATCCATGTTTGGATGGTTTGTCACAATATTGTATAAAGCTGCTTTATAAAAGCCAAAAGGGGTTGTGCGATTTGATGACAAAATGTAATAGCAATTCAGGCTGATATTGGGATTTTATTTGAAATTAAATTATGTTTCAAGCTTCAGCCATATATATATATATATATATATATATATATATATATATATATATATATACACACACACACAGCTGAAGTCAGAATTTTTAGCCCTCCTTTGAATTTCTTTTCCTTTTTTAAATATTTCCCAAATGATGTTTAGCAGAGCAAGGTAATTTTCACAGTATGTCTGATAATATTTTTTTCTACCGGAGAAAGTCTTATTTGGTTTATTTCAGCTAGAATAAAGAAGTTTTCAATTTTTAAAAAAAACAATTTCAGGTCAAAATTATTAGCCCCTTTAAGCTATATCTGTTTTTCGATAGTCTACAGAACAAACCATCATTATACAATAATTTGCCTAATTACCCTAACCTGCCTAGTTAACCTAATTAACCTTTTAGTTGTCCCTTTAAGCTGTGTATATATATATATATATATATATATATAACATTTATTTTAGTATTTATTAAGTCAGTCAATATAATGCATACTCATTTACTTCATGCATTTATGTATTTATGTTTATATGTATTTATATGTGGAAGCCCCTAATTTTTTTGTGAGTACTCAACTGTCCTACTCTTCCCTAAATTAGCCAGGAAAAATAAAGGAAGGAATTTCTAGACAGTATTTGATAAAATGTTTTTTTTTTTTGTACACATTGTAGATTTATTTTATACAGCATGTGCAAATGTATTTTGCTTATTTATATGTGGAGGTCCTAAAGCACTTTTAATATAGGTGAAACTCTCCTACTTCCAGCTTTTGGGAAAACTATTTTAGATTTATTTGATTCAGCGTGTCTCTAATAGAATGAACTATACAGAGATGAGCTTCCTAGTCATGTTTTGACAGATGGTTGCCTATCCAATGGCTTTTTTCACAATGTCTCCCTCTGAACAGAGCTGGAGGCTTCTTGATTACATTATCCATGTGCATGGGTGTGGTGGGATCAGTAGCCTCTCTGTCTAATGGAGACCAGTGGAAGGCAGTGGCCATTGCTGCAATCTTTAGCTGTGTCTTACTCGATGCACTTTAAAATATACAATTTGAACAGTTTTATTCCTATAACCAGGATTCATTCTATCCATCCATCCATCCATCTATTTATTATTGTTATTAGTATTATTATTATTATTATATAGATATATTCTATACATTATATCATTATAAAGATAATCGTGTTTATATTCTATATACGAATGCAGACTCAGTGCAGCAGATCTCTTGCCCTGCCTATTTCACCCATTAGCCCTGCTGGTAATCTAGAGGATTTAGGCGAACACAGCAACACGGCGATGAGTCTAAATGTGAATGATCTCCACTGATAAAAGACAAAGTCTGCCATTCTCCAATTCTCGTACTGATCTCCCTACAAAAATGCTTGCTGCACACATACAGCTTTGCTGCATTCGAACTGACAGGATTGCAGGGAAAAACATGAAACATACCCCGTGGATCATGGAAACAAACACATATGATCCTTGAATGGCTAAATACTGTGTGCCGTGGGTCCGTGGACGCGGTCTCACCCAGTCATTGGGTCTCACAGCTTGGCACTGGCAGGTCTGTCTTGCCCTCGGAAAGCACATGCAGTCATGAATAATTAAGCAAGCTAGCTCTTCTCATAGGATAAGAAAACCAACGCTTCATCCCTCCACTCGCAGATTTGCGCTACATCACAGATTTTGATCCGCCCCACAAAACATTTTAAACCCAAAACGATGAAATTAGCTGACAAAACCTCCAAATTATCCAGTTTTCCCTAAAATTAAAGCTGACAGGTTCTAACATTGTCTTAACTGATGCTCAACACACACTAATCTGTTCAAATCTTAAAATAATACTTGAGGGTTTCTTGAACCTTTAAATCACACTCCCATAATCAAAATCAGTTTTTTATAATGTTGTTGGCACATCTATATTAAGTCCAGTGGTTGCTCTAGGATTTTTTCAAGCTGTGGCGCCAGGTCTTTTTTTTTCCACAGATACCTGTGGCGTTATTATAATGGCAAATGTCGTGAGCGCAGTATTAAAAGTCGAGATTGCATTTATGCAATATCCTACATGTACGAGCATGTGAATCTCTGTGCTTGCGTGCTGATTTCCTCTGCTCGAGAACAAAACTTCTTGCACGCCACCTCAAATAAAAGCCGCTTCAAGAGCATGCAGATCTTCTTGTGCGCTCTCAAATAAACGCTGCTGAGTGCGATTTAGTGCGTTTATGTAACGAGCATGTCTCCAGCATTTATTAGATTTGCTAGGAATGTTTATGAATGTCTCTAATAGACCTACCGAGTAGCATTAATGCGTCCTGAAGTAAAGTAAATCGGCTATACGTCGTGTTTGCTGGCCTCATGCATCACGCACCTGCCAGCCAGCCAGTCAGTCAGCATGCACCTTAAAGCGTTAAACAAATGACGCACAGCACTACTACGGTTACAGAAAAGTTTGCGCTGTTATAATTCACTTACCTTTAATACGTTTTGGTGCGATTATTACCTGCTACTAAAAAAAATTATGAATGTTTTGAATGAGAAGCTGTAATGTAGCCGTGGCGGGATGAATTTTGGCGTAGCGCCCCGCCATGGGAGAATGAATGTCGCGGAAACCATGAAGTCTATTGGCAAACTGCAGAGGTTTCTGTATCAGGTTCACCTCTGACTAAATTACACTCCAGAGATCCTATTAGTGTTTGAGAACTCGGCCCCCCTTTGGGCATGATAAAAAAAAAAAACGAGCACCTGATAAAGGAGAATTCCAGATACAATGACCAGAGGAAAAATGTGGGAAGAGGATGATCCTTCATACTCTGCAAAAGGAGATCAAGCATGAAGCAAACAAAGAATTGTGTGGCCTGCGTCTTGCTAGGATTAATATTTGTTTTAGTTTTTTTTATGCACAGTGGCTCAGTGGTTAGCATTGTTGCCTCCCAGCAAGAAGGTGGCTGGTTTGAGTCCCAGCTTTGTCAGTTGGCATTTCTGTGTGGAGTTTGCATATTTTCCCTGTGTTCCAATAGTATCTGGAAGCAGCCTTTATGATGCAAGCTGAGATTGCATCATTCAGCAATGCAATGTCAGACACAATGCACTCAAATGGATTGAGTGGTGTCATTATGAGGGGTAGGGTTAGGGATGTATGGGGTTAGGTGAGCCTATTAAAAAGCATTGGATGCAGCTCAGATTGCACTGCAGCAGGTCTGCATCAAGACCCCTCTCCTGTGTTCCCGTGGGATTCCTCTGAGTGCTCCGGTTTCCCCCACAGCCCAAACACATGAGCTAAAGATGAATTGATGAACTAAATTGGCCGTAGTGTATAAGTGTGTGTGGGAATGTGAGTGTGTGTGGGTGTTTCCCAGTGCTGGGTTGTGGCTGTAAGGGCATCCGCAGCGTAGAACATATGATGGAAAAGTTGGCGGTTCATTCCGCTGTGGCGACCCATGATAAATAAGGGACTAATGTAAAGCAAAATGAATGAATGTATAAGAGAAAATGTTGGACTTTCCCAAAACCGCGGTAAACCTTGAAAACGGTTATGGTCCCATGCCTACTAGAGATGCTCACTGACATGTGCGTTTCTTGATTTAAAGCCAGGTCCAAGAGCATGGTGATGGGAGAGGCATCCCGAGGCTCATGCCGGCCCACCTCACCGAGTCTCCAGGAGGGGGTGCTAAAGGCCGGCTGGTTGAAAAAGCAGAGGAGCATCATGAAGAACTGGCAACTGCGCTGGTTTGTGCTGCGTGCCGACCATCTCTTCTTCTACAAGGACGAGGAGGAGACCAAACCACAGGTACGTTCGGCTTAACATGCATGCACTCTTACAATCACCCCATATCTAAAGAGAAACATTGTGTATTTCTGAGTGTGCCTTACACAGGTGAGTGGGCTTGACAAACCACCTGTAAAAACAGTCTTATGTGCAAAGGTGGGGGCTTTGGGTGTTCGAGCACCTGCCCATTTTTTCTGTTGAACGTTGCGATCACAACTGTGATTTGACGTGCAAAAACAATGCAAAGTAAAATGTGTGTGTGTACGTGTGCAGAACATTGTGTGTGACTCATCATTGCAGAAAGGCTTGAATTAACTCCTCAACAAATGCATCAAATGACCATTAAGGAAGTTCTTACTGTAGTAAGGGAGATCTGCTTCATTCTTGTCTGTCACTGTGCTGTTTATCTAGCCGGTGAAGGTTACACCCATCAGAGCAATCTCTATGGCTCTGATATGCACGTGGAGATGGTGGGTGGGGAGAACTAGCTCATTTACATTAAAGGCACAGGCAACAAATAAAGCTAGTGTCTTTAGAGCTTAAATCTCCCATATTCAGAACAGTATAATAACTAATCTGATGGGCGTTTGAGCTGAAATTTTACAGACATATTCTGGAGAAATGAAAGACTTATCTTAAATCTTGAAAAAGAGGTAAAATAGGAGCCCTTTAAAGGTTTTTTTCAATGAGCCACAGATGCAATTGAATAATTAATGTTATTCTGATCAATGATGATAGAGTGCATCAACGAGTAAGAGAGATGGCCAAAAGCTTATGGCATTGAAGTTTTATTGAAGAATCGAAGACCACAGGCTCGCCTTAATGGGTTAAAACTGAAATGCTGCCAATATTGCAATGTGACAGGATTCTTTATCAGCAAAGTTTGCTTTCAAGACAGAACCAAGTAGACTAAATTTAAGTCTCAATGCAGCACAATACAGTAATTCTTCAGGATGAGCATTTTGACATCTACACTACCTGACAATTGTCTATCCCAGTTGTAACAAATAATAACTTGACTTCTCGTATTTGGAAAAGTGACAGAAGGTGAATCATCTGTTGATCTGCATCCCAATCATCACAAATACTGCAGAAGACCTATACTGGAACCAGCATGCACTCAAGATTTTCACAGAAATTAGTCAAGTTTGGTGAATGAAAAATCATGGTTTGGGGTTGCATTTAGTATGGGGGCGTGCAAGAGATCTGCAACATCAACAGCCCGAGGTATCAAGACATTTGTGCTGCCCATTACATTACAAACCACAGGAGAGGGACAATTCTCCAGCAGGATAGCGCTCCTCCTCATACTTCAGCCTCCACATCAAAGCTCCTGAAAGCAAAAAAAGGTCAAGATGCTCCAGGATTGGCCAGCCCAGTCACCAGACTAGAACATTATGAAGGAGGAGGCATTGAAGATGAATCCAAAGGATTATCTCTCTGGGAGTCCTGCAATAACACTTTCTTTGCCATTCCAGATGACTTTATTAATCAGTGATTTGAGTCAGAGATGTATGGATGCAGTCTTCCAAGCTCATGATGGAGTCAGACACAATATTCATTCTGTCTCCACTGCAGCAGGACTTTATACTCTTTACTGGACATTATTTCTGTTCAGTGACATGACTTTTGTCCAAGCAAAGTCAGACCTTACTAATTCCTAATTAAATCATTATTAATCAAGGCATGATGATATTTATTGCAGTCAATAAGCGTAATCTAGAGGCATTTGCCTTTCATATAAGCCACTTCTGATACCAAATGATCAACTAGAAGTCAAGTTATTATTTGTTGCTTTTAAAACTTGGATGAGCAACAAGACTTTTGTCAGGTAGTGTATTTGCTGAAGCAGAGGTTCTCAAAGTTGGGGTTGGGACCCCCTAGGGGTCGCCTGGTGATTTCCAAAAATCTATTTATTTTTATTAAACCATAACTATTACCATATTTTATCCATAACCTACTGAAGAGAAAAAAAAATGTATATATAGTTACTATAGTAGCTTATAGTAAGTTCTATAGGATTGCGACCCCTGGGGTAATTACATTACATTACACAGCAATAGTGTCAGATGCAGCAGATTTTATAACACCAGGATAAACTTTCAGGCCCATTCACAGCACTCACATAAATAAATAAAAAAATAAACAAAGAATAGACTCGGGTCTATTGGTGTGTGTGTGCGCTATTGCATGCAAGGTTTCTGTATTTATAACCACCTCAGAGGACATTGGGCGTCACGAGTCACTGGCATTGTCATTTTGGGAGTCGCAGGCTGAAAATTTTGCGAACCCTTGTGCTAAAGCAAATAAAAACGTGTTATGTTTTTGTGAATGCTTTTAAATTGTATTTGTCTTGAGTGGTTGTAAATAATTTTTGGCACCATTCCATCTAACATTATTCTCAAGCCCTGAAGCAATCTGGATTTATAGCATTAAGCCAAACATCTGGTCATAGAGTATTGATATTTCTATACACCCGTAATATATGACATAATGCAAATATCTGCTGTGTGTTTTTTCACCTGCAGTGTTGTGATGCTGCTGCTGGTTCATAAGCATCTCATATTAACCAATCAATAGTGTCCGGCGTTGTCAGTCAGACCAGCGTTTGTGATAAACAGCAGACTGTCAATACTCATCCAAGCACCCTTAATCTATGCCCATGCTGCGCTGGCCAGGACGTGTGTGAAAATGTCAATCCCACCCACTTTTCCTGCCTTTAATCAATGGGATTCAAAGTGGAAGGGCTGTGTAGGCAAATCTCATAGCGAATCACACACTGAGATGAAAGGAGAGCATGCATATTGAACAGTGCGCGGTGCAGAGCCGACGTCCCCATGCATCATCTGGGGTATTAACGGTTGCTTAGAGCAGTGTTTCTCAAACCTGTTCCTGGAGGCACACCAACAGTATATTTTGGATGTCTCCCTTGTCTGACCCATTAACTTCAGGTTTTGGAGTCTTTTCTTAAGGTCTGATGAGTTGATTCAGGTGTGTTTGAACAGGGAGAGGTTGAAAATGTGGACTGTTGGGTGTGTCAGGAACAGGATTGGGAAACACTGGTTTAGAGAACTGCGGCCGGATTCATTACAATTCTATTTTCTTCCTTTTTTTTTTATTAAAAATATTTAGTATAAAGTGGTTTTATGATACAGCCTTTTTCCAAAATTGATTAATTTATTTCCTCAACATTCTACACACAATCCCCCATAATGACAATGTGAAAAAAAAAAGAGTTTTTGAAATTGTTGTAAATGTATTAAAAATAAATAAGCTGAAAATCACTTCTACATCAGTATTAGCAGGCTTTGCTCAATACTTTGTTGATGTACCTCAGCGATCACAGCCTCAAGTATTTTTGAATATGATGCCACAAGCTTGGCACACCTGTCTTTGGGAAATTTTGCCCATTCCTCTTTGCAGGACCTCTCAAGCTCTATCAGGTTGGATGGGTAGCGACGGTGTACAGCCATTTTCAGAACTGTCCAGAGTAGGCTTGGGCGGTAGTACGATAATATGGTATACCGCGTGATCTAAAAATAGCAACGTGTCAGTTTCAATAACATTATAAAAACAATGCACTTAAATAGGAGACAAATATTAAATATGATATATAATAAATATTAAATATCCTTTATTTAATGCCTACAAATGCGTATGCGTGATTGTCATCACGGGACAGTGTGGAGGAGAAAGAGAGGGAGAGGTGAGGTGGCGAGTTGCGCACCAAGTGACCTGCAGTTTGGCAGTATTTCCGGTTTTGACCGAACAAGAAGGGAGACTTGGCAAATATGAACTAGAGGTCTGCATTCCCGCTGTACTGGGGGAGCCAACCAGATTTCTTGCGGTGCAGGAATAAATTTCCGAATAAATCGCGGGAGCGGTCAGTAACTCTGGTATAATTTGAAAGGGAGCGGGCGCGCGGTCTAACAATATCGCATCCACGTGGATTGTTGATTGTGTGTGTGTGCGTGTGTGTGTGAGAATGAGAGAGGGCATGATTCTGTGTGTCGCTTGGTGCTCTCTCTATATGTGTGTGTGTGTGGTTGTGTGTGTGTGTGTGTGTGTGTGTGTGTGTGTGTGTGTGTGTGTGTGTGTGTGTGTGTGTGTGTGTGTGTGTGTGTGTGAGAATGAGAGACAGCGTCCCGTGCAGAAGAACACAAACAAGACAAACAGGTGACCGTGAACCTAAGGTCGCATATACGGGATTCTGTTTCTGCAAAAGCCAACAGTTTGAAGACGACCTCCCTGACTAGGGCCCTTCTCCACCGATCGCTCAGCTTAGATGGCCGGCCAGCTCTAGGAAGAGTCCTGGTGGTACTTTGAGCATTGTTTCTGAAACACCAAAGCTTGGGATTTTTTCTTCAGAGTCAGACAAAAAAATAGTTATTCTTAAGAAGATATTTGGAAACCTGCAATAAAATATGTATGCTTTATATCTTGTGCAAAAGAAATCTTAAATTCAGCCAAACAGATTCAACAGCCTGACTAAGAGCCCCATTCTGAGGCTAAATCATTCAGTTTACAACATGTCCCTAAAGAATAAATAATCTCTCAATTTCATTCAGTTCATAGTTTACCAGAAGGCACTCAAAATATGTGCAATAATGTGCAAAACACCAAGTTTAAGCTTTGAATAACACAACAGGCTCAAAATCCCTGGGTAAATGTCCATATGATTGCGATGTGGATTAAAGAATTACATCCGAGTGTATGTGGTAATTAGATTTGATTGATTTTATAGGTCTATAAAGGTTAAGTGTTGCACTGCTAACTCTTCATATCCGTGCAGGGCTGCATCTCACTGAAGGGCAGCCAAGTCAATGAGCTGACGGCAAACCCAGAAGAACCCGGACGACACCTTTTTGAGATCCTGCCAGGTGAGCTGATCTTCAGATCATCACTGTCCTGCACATAAAACACTGCCTTCATGATTTTTGAGAGTTGAGAGACCGAGAAAGCCTTCCAGAATGGGTCGTTTGGGTGATAATGCCTCAACCTGATGGTGAATGCTGTTTGTTTTATTTATGACAAGTAAATAGCACATCAGTGTGACGTCCAGCAGAGCTCTTCAAGACTTGCAGTTTGGCTTAGAGTGAGTTGTTTTTTTTTAACAGCACAGCAAAGAAGGCATAATATCTAATTATAGCTGTGCTGTAAAATGCACACCTCTCAATCCGCTAACTGGAGCCAACCTCCAAATGCCCTCCAAATCCACTCCCATTTACATGATATTCAATTCTCTCTAAAACATTGCGATGATGCCTACCTACTATCCTCCTTTACTTTGTACATGCAAATCACATTAAAATGTAAAGCGTTGCATTTCTCATCTCTGAAAGTGCAGTTCCAGTGTACTCAAGCCGCCTTTCCACTGCACACGACAAACGACAAGCGACAGACCGGAAGTCATTCATTTCCAATGGAGAGCAGTCCGGGAGCTGCGTTTAGTTCCGATTATCTCCGTGTGCGGAAAATTCGGATCTAAATTGAGCTGTGGATCCGTTGAAATATTTGAACACCTGCGACTAGACCGTATGTGACCTGCCGACCAGATATGATGCATTCCAATGTTGTCCAAGCAGGTCCGTGCGCGCGAGATGAGAAATAGCAGTTTATTTGGTTATTTTTTGAATTATAAAAAGTCTTTATTAAAGAAAAACTTTTCTGTTCATAAATGTAAGTATGAAAGTAATAAAAAATATATATATATTTTAATGTTGTCTCCACATTCCCTCCAATATTTTAGCGGTCTATGGGCCCTATCATACACCCTGTGCAGTGTGGTGCAAGACGCGGCGCAATAGTCTTTTGCTAGTTTCAGCTTGGCGCAAGAGTCGTTTTGAGGTGTTGCGCTACGCTGTTTAAATAGCAAATGCATTAGCGCTCATATGTGCACCCATAGGTGTTCTGCTCTAAAAAGGAAGGCGTTCTGGGGTGGGCCGCTGGCGCGTTGCTATTTTGAGAAACTATAATAGATTTTTCATTAGACCAAAACTAACCCGGTCTAAACTCCAGCGCAGAGTTGCGCCTCGCTTACACACTGCTTAATACACACAAGAGAGCAATAGGCAAATATCTTTACATATGAAAAAAATTAAATATTAAGGACATATATAGGATATAATAAGAATAGATATAGAATATAAATATAAAGGATTAAAATATTACAAAACATATTATTTTCTAGCCTACATAAATATGAAAAACCACTGCTTTTATGTCTTCTTCATCTCAGGAGGCTTTTTCAGTTCATTCATAACAATTTGCTTTTGTATAATGTTATTATTATTAGCAGTATTATTTATTATATCCATATTTATATTTGTTTTATTAAAAACAAGCTTAGATTTGTCCACCTGTCAGGTTTTAGACCATATGGGGCACAGCATGTGTTTTAGGATATAAGAGCACACTTTAGGTTTTTGAGCACACTTCGTTTTTGTTGTTCATTTATTCGTTTGCTGGAAATTAAAACTGAATTTAGAAATAGTTTTGAAACAAATATATTCGCTTAAAAAACTAAATTAATTATTTATAGACTAATTGATGTCTGTGCGTAATAGTTTCCCTATCCAAGAGCGAAAGTGAAAGTGATCCATTATCTCTCATTCTCACGCAGTAGATGCTCTGTTTGCTAGTGAAATGCTCATTTTTTCCACTTAGATTTACTTTGCGTCCTGTAAATAGCGAATACGCTCTTGGCGCGACGCAGCTGGCTCTTAAAGGGAATGGGAGATGAGACTCTAATTGGTTTATTCTCAAAACACACCTATAACTCATTAAGAAAATAAACTCAACCCTTTTAGACCATGCGCCATGGCGCAAGGCAGATTTCCCGTCCTTAAATTAGCAAAAACGCGTCCTGACACGCCCTGAAAGCGTTTGCGCCCTGCGTTTTGCGCCCTGCGCATGGACCATCAAAATAGAGCCCTATGAGTTTACTATTCATTCATCCATTAAACTATGTAAACGCACAGAGAATAAAGGCTCTTGCTTTTGCAGTCCTTTATTTCGCACACCGTTGAGAATCACCGTCTGCCCCGTGGTGCACGACAACACTGAAAATACTGTGCGGCTCCCACAAGGGGGCGTATTCCGACAGTCGTGTCCAAATGTCGTGTGCAGTGAAAAGGCGGCTTTAATGTCATTGAAAAGTAAATGTAAAAACAATTTAAATCCTGGTTATACAAATAATATCTGCTGCACGGTAAAAAAAAGATATGACAAAAAGTGATGACCATCAATGTTATGTTACTTTAACTTCATTTAAGTCAATCACTATTTTAGTCATACAAAGTTCAACTTAATGTTCAGTCAGTTGGACTGATGTACGTTGAAATGACTAAAAGTTAATTTGATTCAACTCATCGTGTATAGGTTGTTTTTACTTGACGTCAGTGATTACATTTACATGGACACCATTCATTCATTCGGTCGATTGTCATGTCGGTTTAGTCCCTTTATTAATCGGACCACCTCAATGACTGACAAATATAATTTATTCAGTAGAAAACTCGGCCTTCCTCATGATATAAGGATCATGTCTTATATTTTCTATATATATATATCTCCTTTAAAATATGATATAAATCACAAAAATACAGACCTTCCTCTCAGTTTTTTACTCCCTACCCTTCATCTGAATTCCGCGCATCACCAGAATCATGTGATTAAAAACAACGAGAGCAATGAGGGCATTAGAGAGTATATACATAATATGTGGCACTTATTTCGTTGATTTATCCCTTTGGCATTTTTTCTGTGCATCTCATACCATCATAATGTATAAAACATTATATAAGAATTTTAAATGCATTAATAATGCATGTTTTACAATTGAAGTCAGAATTATTAGCCCCCCTTTTTATTTTTTCCCTAATTTCTGTTTAACAGATAGATTTTTTTAAACATTTCTAAACATAATAGTTTTAATAACTCATTTCTAAGAACTGATTTATTTTATCTTTGCCATGATGACAGCAAATAATATTTTCCAAGCTATTTTTCAAGACATATACAGCTTAAAGTGACATTTAAAGGCTTAACTAGGTTAATTAGTTTAACTAGGCAGGATAGGGTAATTAGGCAAGATATTGTATAACAGTGGTTTGCTCTGTAGACTATTTAAAAAACATATAGCCTAAAGGGGCTAATAATTTTGACCTTAAAATGAGTTTTAAAAAAATTAAAAACAGCTTTTATTTTAGCCAAAATAAAACAAATAAGACTTTATCCAGAAGAAAAAATTTTATCAGACATACTGTGAACATTTCCTTGCCCTGTTAGACATCATTTGGGAAATATTTAAAAAAAATAAATAAATCAAAGGCGGCGAATAATTCTGACTTCAACTGTATAATGCACTGTTCGATCACTGTTGCCATAATACCATTATTCATTACAAGGAATCTGCAAATAATATCTATTTGAACTTTTGCTTACAATTACTTATGAAAGCATGCATTATTAATACTTTATAATGCATTACCCATAAAGCTTTCAAGTGTTACCGCTTTTTCATTAAAGGCTCATTTCAAATTCTGATAATGAATTTTTCTACATTATCCAACAACCTGGATGCATCGCTGAATCGATGAGTCACCCTTAAAGTGCATCTCAGACATTTAGATAACTGATCTCGGCATTAGTCTAAGTAATGTACAATACCAAACAAAACAAATAGCCAAACACAGTTTCCCAGCCCCCAGCATCACTTACTCGCATCTCCTCCCCAGAGAAGAGCCCTCAACCACAGTCTCCGTCTGACCGGCATGCTTCAGCTCCTTTAAGTCAAACAACCTTATTGGCAAAGCCTCTTCTCCATGAGAAGCAAACAATAACATGACACAAAGCAAGTGAGCAGAAACGCCTCGTGCTTTTTGAATGAGTGGTGCATTTGTCTGGAGATGCATAATAATAATAATAATTCCTTACATTTATACAGCGCTTTTCTGGGCACTCAAAGCGCTTTACACAATGGGGGGAATCTCCTCATCCACCACCAGTGTGCAGCATCCACCTGGATGACGCGACGGAGGCCATTTTGCGCCAGGCCGCAAACCACACACTAGCTTATTGGTGGAGAGGAGACAGTGATGAAGCCAATTATGATATGGGGAGGGTTAGGAGGCCATGATGGACAGAGGCCAGTGGGCAGATTTGGCCAGGATGCCGGGGTTAAACCCCAACTCTTTTTTTGATGGACATCTTGGGATTTTTAACGACCTCAGAGAGTGAGGATCTAGGTTTAACGTCTCATCCGAAAGACGACGCTCACGGAGCAGCATAGAGTCCCTGTCACTATACAGGGGCATTAGGACCCACACAGACCGCAGGTTGAGCGTGGCATGTGGTTGATTGTGACACCAAATGTGACGTATAGCAGGGGTGCTAGGGATGGGTGATGCCAAATATTTTCTTTCCGACCCAATACAAAGTATTTAGTAGACAATTATCATCGATATCAACACCAATGCATCAATAGCTAAGCTTCCATCCAAAAAGTAAAGTTCTGAAATTAGTTTGAATATATCTGCTAGGTTTTCCCAGTGATAGGCTGCAGCTAGATGGGCATTCGCTGCGTAAAACATGTGCTGAATAAGTTGGCGGTTCATTCCGCTGTGCAGGGGAGGACTGGCCATCTGGCCGGACCATTTTTAAAATGTGGGCCGGTCAGCTATTTTAATTTTATTTTTTTTAATATATGTATTGTTTTTACATGCAGGCTGCTTTTATTTCTTGCAAGATGTGAATATTATGATGATGATGACGACGATAATAGTAATAATAATGATAAATGTTAAGCATTGGCCCAATTGGCAATGGCCGGCTGGTTTCGAGAGGGACCGATCCAAATAGGGGTTGCGCTGAAGAATGT